AACCAACGTTGGTGGTTTTTGTTTGTTTGTGTGCACGTGAATAGCCTGGCATCCGGTGCGGATCCAGCCCGTTTGATTCTTTTACAGCGCAGACCCAAATAATCCAGGTTAAATTTGTTGCACGCAGGACTTATGCTTCTTTGCGCAAACCAGCAATTGCTGGTTTTATTGGGATTTGGGGAGGAGGGGTTGAAGGCATCTCGTCTCGAAAGCAACAACAACAGCAACAGCAGCAGCAGCGATGACAAGACCGTGCCATGGTGGGAGGAGTTGTTTACTCTCCCAAACTTGGAAAAGATGGTTGATTCACCGACCAGCTCCTTACCCTCTGCTCCCACGGCTTTGTGGAAAGGGCTCCCTTGTGTGGGCAGGACCTGTAGTTTCTCTCCGTATTAATTCAGGCTCACCCACCCTCTAAAACAGGAGTGGGGAAGCTTGGCCCTTTTGAGTTTAAAGCCCACAAGCCATAAAAGGGCCAAGGTTTCCCCCACACCGCACCACACCACTGTAAAATGTGAAGGACCCGCTGGCTTAGATGTTAGATGTGGAGACTCTACGAAGAGTGCAGAGAAGAGCAACGAAGATGATCAGGGGGTTGGAGGCCAAAACAGACCAAGAACAGTTGCAGGAACTGGGTAATGTCTGGTTTAAGGAAGAGAAGGACGAGGGGTGACGTGATGGCCATCTTCCAGTATCTAAGGGTTGCCCCAAAGAAGAAAGGGTCAACCTATTCTCCAAAGCACCAGAAGGCAGGACAAGAAGCAACAGATGGAAATGAATCAAGGAGAGAAACAACCTAGAACTAAGGAGAAATTTCCTGACAGAACAATTAACCGGTGGAATGACTTGCCTACAGAAGTTGTGAGAGCTCCAACACTGGAAGTTTTTAAAGAAGAGATTGGACAACTATTTGTCTGAAATGGTATTGGAGTTCCTGCCTGAGCAGGGGGTTGGACTAGAAGACCTCCAAGGTCCCTTCCAACTCTGTTGTTCTGTTCTTGGTTGGTGGTGGTATGGGAACATCTCCTCTTTGGGCCTTTGGAACTGGTCTGTGGGTCTCCTCTCCCCGCGGAAGCCAGCTTTGGCCTGGGCGATGTCACCTCTGCAGCCATTTTGAGAGCAGCAGCAACACCCTCTTGCCCCAGCCAGTCGGCTTCCTTGAGGACCACAAAAGATCGGAGCTGTCCATCAGCATGAAGGAGAAACCCCAAGGCAATGTCAGGCTGGACATCAGGAAGCCTCTCCAGACTCCGCCATCCCACCTCGTCTCGGAAGGCTGATGAGGAAGACCTTCCTAGCTAAAAATACGCATCCGAATCCATCTTCCAGAGTTCCTCAACCGAACCTTCTGCCCAGCCCTAAATTTTGCCTTCCCTTCCCCAACCCACGGCCTCTGCAACCACCAACTCCTACACCCAGAGATTGGGTTCACCACGCTCCTTTGCCGACGGCTACAGCTCTTCCTCAGGCTGCCCAGCTGGCGATGATGCCACGCTGTCTCTGCCCTCCTCCGGCAAGGCCTGCTTGTCCATTGTAGTAGGGACCTGCCTAGTTTTGATGATGCTTTTTTTTCCCAGATACTCCACAAAACGGCGGCACTGGGATTAACTGCCAGCCATGCCAAGCCAGAATTAATCCGGTCATTTGCATCCCTTCCTATTTCGCCCTTCCGACATGCTCCAGCAACCTTCCCTTTTTTAAAAAACAAAAACGAAAATGAAAACCCCTAACTGGACACGCCGAGTTTAAAAAAAAATCCCACCCTGTTTTGACCTTCACTCCCTTCGGGTTCAGGGCGGCAAACATGCACAGATGCACAGAAGACCCCCAGGCTCACTGACCTCCTGGCTGGGCCGCGAGGCCTGCCTGGCCTTCCGCCTTGCGCATTTCCACCGCCATCCGTTGTCCGTTGCAACACACACACACACACACACACACCCGTTAGGTACTACGAACACATCTCGGTGCGTTCCCTCCCTCCCGCCTTCCTGTCGTGCCATCCAATTCACTCCCTTCTTCCTCCCCGAAATCCATATTGGAATCAGCCCAACGCCACCCAGACTGGCCCTCAATAAAAAGCAGGACCAGCCGGGCACATAACTACCACGGCCTTCTCGGTCATCCAGGATATCGTTGTATCAAAAGCGGTTTTTAATTTTGAAAGACAACTGGACTAGGTGTGTGTGTGGAAGAAGAAAACATTTCGGCTTCCTATCCTGGAAGCCAACGAAGCTACAACGGGTGAAGCTCCCAGGATAGGGAGCGAAAGGTTTTCTTCTTCTTCAAACAAACAAACAAACAAACAAAACCAGTCCAGTTGCCTTTCAAAATAAAAACCGCTTTTGATAACCACAGTCTGCTTTCCACAGCCAAATTGAGCTTCATCTCCTTCTTCCTCCCCTCTGATGCAGCCTCCTTGGGACAGCCACCCAAGCGGGAATTCCTCCATTTCTGGCCTGTTTTTTTCTCCCTCTTCCTTCCTCAAATCAATCAATCAATCAATCAATCAGAATAGACTGGGAAGGGACCTTGGAGGTCTTCTAGTCCAACCCCCTACTCAAGCAGGAGACCCTATCCCATTTCAGACAAGTGGCTGTCCATCCTCTTCTTGAAAACCTCCAGTGATGGAATACCTACAACTTCTGGTGGCAAGCTGTTCCACTGGTTAATTGTCAATGTTAGGAAGTTTCTCCTTAATTCCAGGTTGCTTCTCTCCTTAATTAGTTTCCATCCATTGTTTCCTGTCCTGACGTCTGGTGCTCTGGAGAATAATTTCACCCTCTCTTCTCTGTGGCAGCCCCTCAAATACTGGAACGCTGCTATCATGTCTCCCCTTCTTTTCTCCTGACTGCCCAAACCCCAAACCTGCAACCGTTCTTCCTATTTTTTTAATCTGCAGGCCGGAATAGCCAAGTCTCTCTTGGCTATTAAGGCCTCCTTTCCAAGCCTTATTTATTTCCCACCTCCCTGGTCAGAGCATAATCATCAAAGCAGGACATTTTCCTGCAGGACCCCAAAGCTGTTTCTCAGCCATATTTATTGCTTTCTGCCTTAACGCTGCAGTTCCCGAGCAGCATATCTCCAAATGTTAATTGCCTGGCGAGGGTGGTGTCGGCGTTGACTCCCTGCCTTGCCTGGGCAGCCACGCGTTTCGGTGGGCGCCTCTACAGCCCGGATCATCATTTGAAGCAATAAAAGAGACCCAGATGCAATCACGATGTAATCATCATCATCATGATAAGAAGGAATCTATTCTTAGCACCGGGGAGGAACAAACACACAAAAGCCCTCGAAACCTCATGGAATTGAAGTTGTCCTTCACAGAAGAGTCAGGGAAGGGAGGGAGAGAGGAAGGAAAGAAAGAAAGAAGGAAGGAAGGAAGGAAGGAAGGAAGGAAGGAAGGAAGGAAGGAGGTGGAGAAATAATAATGAGTAGAAGATACACATAAACTGACTGCTAATTGTCCTATTGGGGAGAAGGAAGAGGAGGGAGAAGAAAAGGAAGAGGAAGAAGGAAGGAAGGAAGGAAGGAAGGAAGGGGGAGGAGGAGGAGGAAGAGGAGGACTAATGAGTGAGATTCTACACTTGATCTTAGCCAAAAGGCCGAGAAGAATGAGTAAAAACACATAAACTGACTGCTAATTGTCCTATTGGGGAGAAGGAGGTGAAGAAAAGAAAGAGAAGGAAGAAAAGAAGGAAGGGAGGGAGGGAGAGATTGCTATTTTCCAGATTCCTTTTTTTTTTTAGACAGCACAAGGATTAAAATCCACACCTCAGAGCCAATCCTTTTCAAAGCAGGTTTTCCTCTTCCACGTTCAGAAAAGCAGCAAATAAAACCAGAAAACATTCCCCAAAAGATCCTTAGCTGGCACAGTCCCTCCTTCCTTGCCCAGAAATCCCTGGTATCACCCAGTCCTTTTTGCATCCTTGTTTTTGTTCATATTTCCACATCCTTCCCGTTTCCTCTGCTGCTGCTGCAGAGGGGAGGGCGAGAGAAAGAAGGGACTGGCAGGTTTTCTACAGTCCCTCTGGGTGCAAAATATATATATATATATTAATTTCTTCCTCTCCCTTCCCTTCCTAAGCAGACAAGCCGACTCCATTTTGACATCGCCAGCTGTGATGGGCTGAGGTGGACCCAAGGCTGGGAAAAGGAAGGGAAAAGAGGTGTGTGTGTTGGGGGGGGTCCTCTTTTGTGTGCATCCACACATCCACACCCCTTTCGAGGCAGGAAAGGCCGAGATGCTGTCCCCGGAGAAAGGCTGGGGAAGGAAGGGAAGGGCCCGATTCACCCAGACCCTTCCAGGGCTGATGCTGAAGCCCAGGGAAGAAAAAAAGTCCCCTTTTGATCTAAGCAAGATTCAGCCTCTGGTTCTGGAGGGTGCAAATTGTGGGTTGTGGGTCCGGGCACGAAGGAGGGGAGAAAAAAACCCCCATAGATTGGAGGCTGGGAGAAGAAACCCCCCCCCCAAAGGAGGGGGGGAGAAAGGGAAGAGGAAGGAAATGAAGGGGTGGGGGAAAGGAGAAGGTGAAAAATTGGGGGGGGGGAAGGAAAAATAGATCCAAGGGGCTTTGATGCCCCCATAGAGAAAGAGAGATTAGCCTTTTCCCCCCCTTTTAAGAGATTTTTGGGGAAGATTCAGACCTGGCGGGGGATGGGGGGGAGGAGAGAGACCTTTTTTGCAGGAAAGACTTGGGATGTCAGGGACTCTGTTTAGGGAGACAGCCTCCCCAAGGATGGGGCAGGGTCTTTTCAGGAGCCAGGGGTCCCTGTCGGAATTCCCAGAGACAACCCCCCCCCCGCCCCTCGTCCACACACAGACATATTCTCAGCCCAGGGAAGGCGTTCATGTCGCCAGTTGGGAAGCCGGCTCGGAACGGGGAAGGGTCTTTCTTCCCCGTCGATTTCCTCCATCTTTCGATTAAGCCCCCCCACCCCGTCCGAGCCCCCCACCCACCCCAACCTCCCCGCAACCTGCTCGCCGCCCCCCATGGACTCACCTCCCGTGTTGCTCCTCTTGGTGCTGATGGCTTCGGTGGGGGTCTCCAAGGGCCTTTTCCTGGAGTCGGGGGGATCCGAATCCATGGGGGGTTGCGGGGCGGCTTGGGGGGGCTGCTGAGGCTGAGGCCCCCCTGGCGGCTGCGGCTGCGGCGGCTGGGACAGCGAGGGCGGCGACGGCTGCTGAGGCTGCTGGGGGGCCGAAGGAAAGAGCCCGTTCTGATGGACCGATCCACCTGCCAGCATTTTCAAGCCGAGGGCGCGGAGGACTCCCCCCCCGCCGTACCCGGGAGACTCCAGCAGGGGGAGGGGGTGTTGGGGGGGGCGAAGATGCTCAGCTTTTAGGGAGGGGTGGGAGAAGGAGGAGGAGGGAGGTGTGTCCAGCTGAGGAAGAGCGGAGACATCCAGGTGCAACGGACCCGAGGCGGCAGGGAAACGGACCGGCCGAGACGGGAATTGGGTGGGTGGGCTCCCGAGAGGGACCCAGTCCTCCTTTTCTCTTTCTCTCTCTCTTTAGCCAGCCTCCTTTCCTCCTCCTCCTCCTCCTCCTTCCCCCAGGAAAAGCGGGGTGTGGGGGCGGTGGAGACGGAGCCCCCCACCCGCAAAGGAAGGCAGGCGCAGCGAAGGAGAAGAAAAGGCTAGCCCACCCACCCTCCCACCCGCCCCGGGGGTCCCCCCTTCCCTCGCCCTTCTCTTTAGGTGCTTAGCGAGGGGAAACGGGGATGGGGAGGCGATTTAGGGGGCGACGACGGGGGAGCCCCGGAGGCGGAGAAAGCGGGAGGGTGGGGGGGGGGCGAGGGGAGCGAAACCCACCGAAGCGCGTTGGGAAAGAGCGAGTAAGCGCGAGCGGAGGGCAGCAGCGGCTCGGCTTTCCCCGCATCTCGCTCTTGCAGCCGGCAGGGAGGGAGGGAGGGAGGGTGCGGGGAAGAAGGGGGGGGGGCGTCCGAGGGAGCAGCCCAGCCCCTGACGTGGAAGCAGAGACCCACCCCCCCAGCCTCCGTCTCCCCCCCCCCCAGCAGATTGGTTGCCAGGAGCTGACAAGTGAAAGCAGGGGGGCCGGCGGAGAGGCACGGAACGAGAGAGAGAGAGAGAGGCGCTATTCTTCCCGGGAGGGGGACGCAGCTGGGCGGGAGGGGAGGGGGGAAGGGGGGCGGACAGAAGAGGCAGCTGCCGGGGGTGGGGTGGGCTGGAGGACGGAGCCGATGGGGAAAGGAAAAAGGCGGGGTGGGGGGGGGAAGGTTGCTCGCCTGTCCTCCAGGGTGCCGTTCATCCGTCCTCCTTTCTTCCTTTCTTCCTCCTCCTCCCTCCTCCTCCTTTCCTCTTGTGCTGTGCCACCCGCTGCCCTTCTGCATCCTCCCGGCCTACCTCTCAGGGGTGTGAGGAGGCTAGAGGGGCTGTGGAGGTGAGCATCAATGGGGAAACTGGCCTTCTGGAGCCTGACAAGACCACCGTGGCGGGGGGGGGGGCTGTTGTTCCTCAGCTGGTTTCCAGGGGGGCCCCACAGAGGCCCCACAGGAAAGTTCCCGTTGCAGAGAGGCCCCCGATTGTTCCCAGGAACCGTTTCCTTTCAAATATACCGCAGGGGAAACTGAGGCAGGTGCCTCTGGCTGCTTCCCAGTGCCCCTCTCTGCTCTGCCCTCCTCCAAGGGACACAACATTCCTTTTGCCCTGCCTTAAACCACCATTCCCTGCACACGGTGCCCCACCTGGACTCACAAAACAGACACACACTTCACAAAGGACCTTAAGACACACTGTAATTACGGGTTCAGCTCCCACTTTCCTGTAATACAAAGATAGGTAGTTCCCAACTTACAACCATCCATTTAGTGACTGTTCAAAGTTACAACGGCAATGAAAAAAGGGACTTGGGACCAATGTTCACACTTGCGACTGTTGCAACGTCCCATGGTCTCATGATCCAAACTTAAGACCCCTGGCAATCGGCTCATATTTATGACGGTTGCAGTGTTCCAGGCTCTCGTGATCCCCTTTTGCGATCTTCCGACAAGCCAAGTTAACGGGGGTGGGGGTGGGTGGGGGTGGAGCCTGATTCACTGAACGACCGTGTTAGTAACTGAACAACTGCAGGAATTCACTTCACAAGCGTGGCCAGGAAAAGTCGCAAAATGGAACAAATCTCGCTTAACAACTGTCTCACTTAGCAACGTAAATTTTGGATTCGATTGTGGTCATAAGTCGAGGACTATCTGAATATTCTCTCTCTCTCTCCCCCTCCCTCCTTCCCCCTCCTTTTACTTGCTCCACAGATCCAACCTCACACATAAGCATAAAAATAAATGAACTGCTTTTTTTTAAGGAGCTCAGCAACTTGTCCAGCAGAGCTTAAAATGGGGATGCTGAAGTACTTAGTAAATCCTGGCTGGTGATCCATTTGGCCTCAGTCCTGCTCTACGGCTATAATATAATAATATCCCCCGTTGGATGAGAGATGGATGCTGAATCTCTCATCAAACCTAGGGATATGATTATGATTATTATTGTTGTTGCTGTTGTTAAAATCATTTTCATCTTTGTCCATGGCCCCTCCGCACACAAAGTCTTCAGGGATGTGTCTTACTAAGCCATTCTTTGCCGACCCAGCGGTTATCGCCAGTCGGTGTAATAAGCCGGATCTGGGTGAAGGGAGGCAGCAGCCTAAGTTTCAGTTCAGACGCTCTGGATTCTCTGCAGGCCTTTGGCCAGAGCACTGCAAGAGGCTTCGGACTGACACCCCTTCCTTGACAGGGGCTTCGATATCCACACATTTAGGTAGGTAGCTGATAGCTTACTCTGTTTCCCCAGCTTCTCTAATGGGCAATGGGAGGGAGGGAGGGAGGAGAAATTGAGAAGGGAGGAAAAGAAAGAAGGTAGGAGAGAAAGGAAGAGAGAGGGAGGAAGGAAGGGAGGAAGGAAAGAAGGAAGGAAAGGGAAAAGAGGAAGAGAAAGGAAGGGGAGAAAGGGAGAGGAAGGAAAGGAGAAAAGGAGGAAGAAAGGAAATAATGAAGGCAGGAAGGAAGGAAAAGTGGGAATGGAGGAAGAGAAAAGGAGAGAAAAGAAGAGGGATGGAAGGAAGGAATGAAGTAGAGAAGGAAGGAAAGAGAAGAGAAAGAAAGAAAAAGAAAGAAAGAAAGAAAGAAAGAAAGATCCACATGCCGAAAGCCGTGTTGAACCCCCCCCCCCACCTTGGACACCATTTGCAGCCCTGGGCAAGAGAAGCTGGGGAAGCCTCTCTTTCAGGCCCTCTTTGCTTCTCAAGTGAATGGGGGCTGGGGGGGGGAGAGAGCCTTGAGCAGATGGGCTTTTCATCCTGGCAGTCTTTGGCCAGCTCAATAGCGAGGGGGGGGGGCAGCAAGTCAGTGGAGAACAGCTCCTGAATGTTAAGCGGCCGGCCATTGTCTCAGCCGGCCCATCTGTCTGTCCTTTCCTGCTTGCCTATTGTCCACGGCTGACACATCTGGACTCCGGGCAGCCTGGACGCAGCCCCCTCCCTGCTCCACAAACTCCCCAGAGACCCCCACCCCTGGTCCTGCTGTCTGATCCCGGGCAAAGGAAGCTGAGCCCCCAAGGAACCCCCCACCCTCCAAGGGGGACTGCCACCATGTCCTTCCTCTCCCTCCCCCCATTCCCTGATGGGGGCTGAGGGATCCACCCAGGGGATCCACCCTTCCTTTTTAACCACCTGGCCCCCTCCTAGACTTGCTGGAGAATTGATTTTTTTTTTTTTTTTTTTTTGCTCAAAAGGAAAAGAAAAGACAACGCAAACTCACACACGCTGGTTGTGCAATTTCACACAGCCTGCGCCCTCCACAGAGCAGAGGTGGGAGGAAAGCACGGCGGGGAGGAAAACTTCACAAATGCTTTTGAATTGTCAATATTTGTATGCAAACCTGGGCCTGAAATGTGGCCTAAAACTAGGTAAAGAGACTCCAATCCAACAAAACTATACATTTACTCATTGAGCAAAATGATCCAGGACCTTTGAAGATTTCCAAATTGTTCCTGACAGCTTACAACGGTTCTTTGAGTGACCGTTCGAAGTTACAACAGCACTGAAAATAGTGACCGAGGACCATTTTTCACACTTATGACCATTGCACCCTTCCCATGGTCATGTGATCAAAATTCAGACGTTTGGCAACTGACTCGTAGTTATGACGGTTGCAGTATCTTGGTCACGTGATCCCTTTTTGTGACTTTCTGGCGAGCAAAATCAATGGAGAAGCCAGATTCACTTAACAACCGTGTTACTAATTTAACAACTGCAGTGATCCGTTTAACAAATGTGACAAGGAAGGCTGTAAAATAGGGCAAAATTCTGTTTTCCATTAGCAATGGAAATTTTGGGGTCAATTGTGGTCTTAAGTCAAGAACTACCTCTATGCATCTATCTGTCTCTCTATCTATCCATCCTTCCTTCCTTCCTTCCTTCCTCCCTCCCTCCCATCCATCCATCCACCCATCCATCTTTAATAGATAATGAGCAAAATAAAGTTTAACACAAAGTTAAAATGCATTCATTAAAAAATTAACATCTATGAGTGTGGACCACGTTAAATACAGATACTATTGCAGTGTTTCTCAAACTTGGTAACTTGAAGCTGTGTGCACTTCAACTCCCAGAATTTCCAAGCCAGAATTGAAGTCGACAAAGCGTCCAGTTGTCATGGTTGAGAAAAAGGGCTCCATATAGTAAGTTCAATAACATCTGAAATGACAAAACAGGGATCATAGCCTAGAATGGAGTTGGTTTGCATGCTAGTCTGCTCCAGTACTGCCACCTGCTGGTCGTTTGCCCAACAACAGGCCAATGAATTTTTGTTTTATTTTATTATTTATTTTAGCATCTTTGCAGGATCCCCGAAGATGGAGAAATGGGGACCGAATGAGACCTTGGTCCCTGCTGGCTGAAGATCAACCAGAGGAGATTAAAGGGAACCTGGATTCCCATCAGCAGAGAGACCCATTCTGCAAAGGCAAATGACCAAATCTTCCCCCCACAACCCCCAAAGGGTTAACCCCTTAGAACTGGGGGTGCCAAGCTCTGCTTCTCATGCCTTTTTTACCCCACTGGGGGGGGAGGAAGAGAGGTGGCCAAGAGGGCCCCCACCTGGGGCTTGTGACCCAGAGTGTTGCTGGCGCTCCAAATTGGCAGCAGCAGCAGGCTTTGGGGCTGGCCAGAGGAGGCAAGTGGGGGGGAGGCAGGCAGCAGGCCACGGTTGCTATGGAAACCGCTCGGCTGCCCCCATGGCCTGCTGGGAGTGCGGCTAAGCAGTGAGCATGCCCAAGGAGGAGGAGGAGGAGGAAGAGGAGGAGGAGGAAGAGAAGGGAGGGAGGGAGGCGAGAGAGAGAGAGAGAGAGAGGCTGGCATCAGATGGAACCGGGCAGCCTTAGAGAGCTGGGGGGCCTGAAGGAGAAGGTGGCCCTAGAGAGCATCCTGTGAAGCAAAGGGGCCCAGCAGCCAGGCTTCCCCCCTCCCATTGCTTTCTTCTTGGGAGGGGGGTCCCCTCTGCCAGCCTGCAGGCTGCCAGGCTCCTGTCCAGCGATGCCCAAAGGAGCTTTCCACTTGCTCCCTGGAGTGGTAAAACCAGCCTCAGCTGCTGCCCCCCCACCTGTCACTGCCAGCCCCGCAGCCCCCAGGTGAGACCCCTGGCAGTGCCCACCATCTTCACCCGACTTCCCGGGAGCCGGGCAGGAAGGTCCCAAGGGCAGGAGCCCCCCGCCCCCTTAAGAAGGGATCTGATGGCCAGAGATGTCTGGGGACAGCGAGGAGATCACCCGTCTTCGCAAACCTCGTTTCTCGTACGAGGAGAACCAGATCCTGATCCAGGAAGTGCGAGCCAACTATGGCAAGCTTTATGGCACCCAAAGCCGGCGGGTGACGGTGGCTGAACGCCGGCGGGTCTGGGAGGGCATCGCCGGCAAGATCAACAGCATCACCAGCTGGAAGCGCACCGGCCAGGAGGTGCAGAAACGCTGGAATGACTTCAAGCGGCGCACCAAGGAGAAGCTGGCACGGGTGCCCCACTCCACCCAAGGGACGGGCAACGCTGGTGACGAGGCTTTCTCAGCCGAAGAGGAAACACTCTTTGCCATCCTGGGGCCTGGTGTGATGCCAGGTCCAGGAGGGGCAGAGTCTGGGCTCTTGCAGGGCACGTCGGGCTTTGGGCCTCCCAGTTACCAACCAGCAGCTGAGCATGGCATCGGTGAGTAGCCACGGTCCTGGGGCCAAAGGGTCAGTTGGGCATCAGGGAGCAGGAACACTCTGGACCAATTTGTCAAGAGGTGGGTTGGCATTTGGACCGGACTGGGTTCCTAGAGGTGGGGGGGGGGAGAGACAGTTGCCAGTAGCTGGAGCTGGTTTCTAAATGAAAAAAGGGCCCAGGCTTGCCAGGGTGCCTCTGAACATGAGTCAAGGGCTTCCCCACCATTGACAAGCCAATAGACTTTTTCCAGAGTTGGAAGGGACCTCAAAGGTCTTCTAGTCCAACCTCCTGCTCAGGCAGGAGACCCTGGCCTATACAATTCCAGACAAGGAGCTGTCCAATCTCTCCTTAATCTCGCCTCCAGTGATGGAAGCACCCACAACTTCTGGTGGCAAGCTGTTCCACTGGTTAATTATCTTCACTGTTAGGAAGTTTCTCCTTTCTCCTTGATTAACCACTGTTAATCAATTGTTCTCACTGTCAGGGAATTTCTCCTTAGTTCCAGGTTACTTCTCTCCTGGATTAGTTTCCATCCGTTGCTTCTTGTCCTGCCTTCAGGTGCTTTGGAGAATAGGTTGAGCCCCCCATCTTCTTTGGGGCAGCCCCTCAAATATTTGAACACTGTTTAATTAATCTAATTATTCACTCCCTCCAAGGTTTCACAGTGCCGGGTCCTCCTGCTTATTTTTAATATTGGTGATTTGGGAACAGCTGCTTTGAATTTTGCATTTGTTTTGAGCTGGTTTATGACCATAATAAACTGTGTAACTTTCTCTCTGAATAAATGATAAAAAGGAGCCCTTTTTCATATATTGCTGTGGGGCAGGACAACCTTTCCAGTTTGTAGGGGCTTCAGGCAAAGTTTGAGGCCAGCTACCTGCCCCCCCCTCCTCACCCCCAATTTTTAAAGAGGCAACAGATGGATCTATCTCTCTGCTGTGGCTAATGCCATGGAAATAGAATATTCACTTCTGGCCTAGGAAATTTACTGCAGCAAAAGACACCAAAAAAATCCTGCGTATAGTTAAATCAATGTAGATTTTAGAAACTCTGCCACAATCTTCTTAAACTTTTTTTTAAAAGTGCTGGATTAATAAACTCCAGCATTTTTTTATTCAGACAACTAAACCATTACAGATAATCCTCTACTTACAATAGTTCATTTAGTAACCATTCGAAGTTACGACGGCACTGGAAAAAATGGCTTATGACTGTTTTTCACACTTACGACCGTTGCGGCACCCCCATGAGGTTTCTCTGCCACCTTCCTTGCATACCAGCAAGATTCATCTAGACTAGAGAAACTCAGCAGCTGTCTCGGCAGGTGTGCTGGCACAGGAGGCCAGGGATGGCGGGATCCCTTTGTATTGGTGGAGGTGTCGAGGGGAGCAGCTGGGTTGGAGACGCCAGCAGGCTGGTAACTGTCAGGCCCCAAGAACAACAGAGTAATTGTTGTTCTTGTTCCCCATCTATAGCAGAATCTTGCCAGACTAAAGTAACTGGTAAAGAGGCTGATGATGTTACCTAGTTGGGTCACGAAATGTCTGCAAGAAAGCCACCAATTTCAGAGAGTACCAAGGACCGTACAGTCGTCCTCTTCCTCCTCTCCACACACCCCACTCCCTTCTAGCACTGAAGATGTTACCTAGCTGGCTAATAACATGTCTGCAAGAAACCACCAAGCCCAGAGAGCATCAAGGACCCCATAGTCCTCCTTCTCCTCTCCAGAAATCCCATTGCCTTCTAGCACTGATGATATTACCTAAATGGGCAATGAAACATCTGCAAGAAAACAGCCAAGCTCAGAGAGCACCAAGGACCCTAAACTAACCCTTTGCATAACTCTACGTATATTCTGGGGAACAGTTAGGGAGGAGCCCTCTTCACCCTCTTTCTCTCACACAAGCGATCTAAACTTCACTGCCCCTTTCCACTCTGAAATGCAGCCCCTCCCTCCTGGGAATCCAGACCCCATTCCACCACAGTAACTCTCTTTCCTTAGCCCCTACAGATCTGCCCGCCAGGGCCAACGTCTCCAGCAGCCCAGAGACCTCTGTCCAGCCTTCGTGCTTGCTGAAACCCAAGGAATGTGACTCGCCAGCACCCCCTCCAGGCCAACCCTCGTCACTGCAGATTGTCCAGCTGGCTCCATCTCCATCCTGCCTAGGCTGCCGGCCACATCCCGAACACTCCCCGGGAGAGTTGTTGGGCACCACTCCCTGCCCTTCGATTTCACCCCCCTTGCGGTGCCGACGTGCCCACCTGGACCTGCCTGTCGAGCCCTCTCTGGACTTCCTTCAGGCTCAGAGGGAGACGACCACAGCCATCCGGGAGCTGACCTACACCCTGCGGCAAGGCCTGGAACGGCTCACGGATGTGGTGGCGGCACTGCTGCCCCTCCTTCCAGCTTTGCCAAATGGTCTGTTGCCCCCACATGGGGAATACGGTCTCCCTATGGCAGCCCCGGGCACAGAGACTGCCCCTCCTCGGGAGGGCGTGCCTGCCAAGTTGGAGCTATCTCCAAGGCAGGAAGAGCCCGGGACTGAAAGGGGGCCATCTACAAACCGGACCCCTCCGGCGCAGAAGCGAAGGAAGGGGACCCCAACTCGGAAACGCAGAGGGCGCTGGAAGAATTTGTGAGCATCAGGACAGATGTGCTGCCCCCTCCATCCAAAAAGGAAAGGCAGAGGGGGGGCTGCTCTCCTGGGATGGCTGTTTCAGTCTCTCCCTCCATCTTCCCACAGGGAGGGCAAGCTGGACCCCTCTGCACTACCCCCACTTCTGACGCCAGGCCTTGTGGTGGCCGCACCAGGGGCCACACTCCATGCCAGTCCCTGAGGTCCCCTCTGCTGATTTTTGTGGTCCAAGCATAACTGCAAACATTTATTCCACGCCCTGTGGGCTGCCACGCACCGCTGCTCACTTCTCCATTGGTGGAATGTTGGTCTTCAATTCCAAAGGGAAGGCTTGCTGGGAAAAAGTCAGAAAAAATTAGATAGGGCCACATAGGACAGGCAGTCCTTGACTTACGACCATAATTGACCCCAAACTTTCTGTTGCTAAGTGAGACATTTGTTAAGTGTGCTTCGCCTTGCCGTACAACCTCGCTTGCCACAGCTGCGAAGTGAGACGCTGCAGTGGTTTAAGTTAGCGAGACGGTCGTAAAGTGAATCTGGCCTCCCCGTCGATTTTGCTGATCGGAAGGTCGCAAAAGGGGATCACGTGACGCTGAGACCCTGCAAACGTCATAAATACGAGCCGGTTGCCAAGTGTCCAAATTTTGATCACGTGACCATGGGGATACTGCAACGGTCGTTAAGTGTCTAAAACGGTAATCGGTCACTTTTTTCAGTGCCATCGTCATTTCGAACGGTCACTAAACAAATAGTTGTAAGTCGAGGACTACCTGTAATTTGGTCAGATTGTTTAGTGAGACCCAGGGCTCCTGCAGTTCTGTTCCCACAATGCAACAGTTTTGTTCCATCCTAGCATATGGGGAGCTGGTCCAGGCCCCTTTAGTCTGGAAAAGAAACGTAACTTTTAGGGAAATTTCAGGCCAGGCCGGAAGCCGGAAGATCATTGGAGCATCGCAGAGAAGAAAGCATGTGGCAGTCAATGCCTTTGGTGACACTGGATTCCCTCCGGTAGAAGCTCAATAAACTATTTTCATACGATGGTCAGATCTCTCTGGGGGATTTGTTCAGTTCTCACTGGAACACCTGTGACACACGGGCGGTGAGCAAGGGAGGGCTGTAGGCGGAGAAGGTGGAACTCATGCCTCATTAAGATGCAAAAGGGATAAAGTCGGTCATTTAAGAAATATTCTCACACTCCCCCCCAAAAAAAGGGGGGGAATATTTCATACTGCTGGTTTTGCACATAGGTAGTCCTTGACTTATGACTGAACAGGAATTTCCACTGCTCAGCGAGACATTTCATCACCCAACCAGTATTATCATCAGTGGTATCAGCAACAGTAGTACTGATGATGTTACCTAGTTGGTTCACGAAACGTCTGGAAGAAAACAACCAAGTTCAAGGAGCAACAAGGAGCCCACAGTTGTCATCCTCCCCCTCCCCCTCCTCTCCACAAATCCCCCTCCCTTCTATCACTGATGTGGTCATCTCATTGAGTCAGGAAACGTCTGGAAGAAAACCACCAGGTTAGGAGCACCAAGGACCCCACACTTTTCCTCCCCCTCCTCCCTTCTAGCACTGATGATGTTCTCTAGTTGGGTCATGAAACATCTGCAAGAAACAACCAAGTTCAGGGAACAACAAGGACCCCACAGTTGTTGTCCTCCTGCCCCTCTCCCCCTCCTCCTGCTCTCCACAAATACCTTCTAGCACTGATGATGTTACCTAGTTGGTTCATGAAACATCTGCAAGAAACAACGAAGCTCAGAGAGCACCAAGGACCCCACAGTCCTCCTCCTCCTCCCTTCTAGCACTGATGATGTTCCCTAGTTGGGTCATAAAACATCCACAAGAAAATCCCCAAGTTCGGGAGCACCAAGGATCCCACCTTTCAACCCAAGCTCCCAAAATTCTCTTCTATTGGAGTCCTTCATTTGCAATGGGGATGCAGTCAGGCTCTGGCCATCTGTTGGGCTGGCTGAGGCTTCTGGAGAAACATCTCTTCCCCTCCAGCCATCGGGCACTGCCACATGACCACTTCTGCTCGAATGGCAGGACAAATGAGACCCCCCCCCCATTTTCATAGAGGCCTCAAATCTATGAAAAGCTCTTTGCCAAGCCCATCCAGGGCTTGCGTAGGCTCCATCCATCCCAGTCTCCTGGAAAACCACTAGCTTTGTGATTAAAATATTTCAGTGCTCTTTCCAAAGACCCACAAACCTAGACGTAAAAAAAAAAAAAATTAAATTGGGAAAGAGGAAAAATTGGTAGTTGATCCCAAATAAAAAGCAACAAGGGATTTTGAATGGCTGCCTTGATGTCTGGAAGGGAAGCGATGCCTGCTTGAATAACACCCCCCCTTGGCATCCCCCATGGGGGCTCCTGGGTACTTCCAACTGCCACCATTCAATGCCATCCTTGCAGGGCTTACAGATTCGGGATATTTGGGAGTGGGAGAAAATTGTCTAGGGGAATTCTGGGATTTGGAGTCCCCATATCACCCAGTTGCCCCAAGTTTGAAAAACCACTGGGTTAAACAACGCTGGGCCTATTCTCTGCACACCAACCACATTCTCTCCGTTAATCCTTTGCAAGGATTTGCAAAGGGCCATCATGCCAGCTCTCTGGCGGAAAGTGAACCCTGGAACTCACTCTGGCTGGACGAAAAGGAATACGAGGCTTGCATCTTCACAGCCTCTTCCTTGTGGATTTGATGGGTTTTTAAAATTTTTCTCCCTGCCTGTCGAGAACCCCCTTAGCAGCACCCCTGATAGTTGAACTTTGAACTGCAGGGGCAGAGGTGATTTGCAAAAGGAAAAAAAAAGAAAAAGAGGAAGTGGTGCAGCCGGAAATGCACCACAGCCCAACATCCGGGCTTTCAAGCCGCTTTGCCAAGCGGGTAATGTATTTTCCTTTTCCTTAACGCTGAAAAGCCCAGTTAACTCTTTCTTGGATCTTGGGTATCCTACGTCGGAAGGGCAGGTACGACTTTTCGAGGGGCAGAGACATCCTGGGCCTCGGAACCTTCACCTGCACCCCAAAAAGTGGTGGGGGCAGGACCACCCCTGATAAAAGTTGAAAATTAAATCTGTGATTTACATGGAAAGTGGTTATCTGAATCGGTCCTTCTGCAATAGTTAAGAGACAATATTTGGGCATCTGGAACATCTGAGGCAAAGGCAGGAAAGGGAGAAAGTGGGGAATCCCTCGTTCCTGGGGAAAAGAAGCTGTTTTAATATTGACACTCCAAATTCATTTATTTGTTATTTATTACATTTGTTTGCTGCCCATCTCATGAGATTTACTTGCTTTCATCAATATAGCGTTGGGAACAAAAGAACACCTGTGTGGAGGATGGACACGGGACCATGGACAGATGGACCATCCTAGTCTTAAGGGTTTTTAGTGCAGGGTTCTCTACCCTTTGGCAACTTTAAGACTTGTGGACTTCAACTCCCAGAATCCCCCAGCCAGCCAGCCAACCAGATACCTGCAGGTCTGCTGGGGAATTCTGGGAGTTGAAGTCCACAAGTCTTAAAGAGGGCAGGGTTAGAGACCCCTGTTTTAGTGCAACTGCAAGCATCTCTTCTCCTCTTTGAAATCACCCGGACTCCCCAACCCCTGTGCATTCCCTTGTGAAAAATGGGAACAGTAGTCCTTCACCACTGTGAGATATCTAGCTCAGCGAGGCTCCAAAGACATCCTCAATTTTGAAAGTCTCCGCAATCCACCTCTGCGGCCATCAGCCCGCAGCGGGGCCTTTAAGAGCGCCCCCCCCACCGCAAACCCAGACCGCCTCCCTCCAGTTCCAGGACTACATCTCCCGACAGGCTTCGCGAGGGACTTATGTAAGTTTCTCCATGTAGGAGGGCAGGCGAGAGGGGATTCCCCCCCTTTTTTTCCTCCCTCTTCGCCTCGTCTGCCTGCCTGCCCGCTCCGGCCTGCCTGCCTGCCTGCCTCCTTCCTTCCCCCGCCCCGCACACAGCCCCTTCCCGGCCGCGCGGGCCAGCTTCCCCCCTCGCCGGGCCGGTTGTTTCGGCGGCGTTTCGGCGTCGGGGGCCGGCGCGGGCGGGGCGGGCGGGCGGCGGCGGCCAAGATGTCTTCGGTGCAGGCGTCCCGCAGACAATGGTGCTACTTGTGCGACCTGCCCAAGATGCCCTGGGCCATGATCTGGGACTTCAGCGAGGCCGTCTGCCGGGGCTGCGTCAACTTCGAGGGCGCCGATCGCATCGAGCTGCTGATCGAGACGGCGCGGCAGCTGAAGCGCAGCCACGCCATGCCCGAGGGCCGATCGCCGGGGCCGCCGGGCGCCAAGCAGGCCAAGGACGGCGGCGGCGGCGGCGGGACGGGGCTGGAGCGCTACGAGCGAGCCCGCCTGGCCGGCCCCGACTACGCGCTCAGCCCGCGCTTGCCCAACGGGCTGGGCCGCGGCGGCGGCGAGGAGGTGAGCGGCGGCGAAGGCAGCCGGCAGAGCCCGACGGCCCGGCGCGCTCTGGTGGGTCCGGCGCCGGCCGGGCTGGTGCCTCCGCCGGGGCTGATGCTGGCGGCGGCCGTGCGTCCCGCGCCGGCCCCGCTGCCCCTGGCCTCGCCGCTGCTGGGTGAACTGGCCAAGCCGGCGTCGCGGGCGGGCTACGAGTACGAGAAGGAGAAGGCGCGGCACAGCGAGTGCCTGGCCGAGCTGAACGAGGCGATGCGGGCCCGCGCCGAGGAGTGGCACGGCAAACCCAAGGCGGTGCGGGAGCAGCTGCTGGCGCTGTGCGGCTGCGCCCCCTTCACCGTGCGCTTCAAGAAGGACCACGCGCTCACCGGGCGCATCTTCGCCTTCGACGCCGCCGCCCGGCCGGGCTACGAGTACGAGCTCAAGCTCTTCGCCGAGTACCCCTGCGGCTCGGGCAACGTCTTCGCCGGGGTGCTGGCCGTGGCCAAGCAGATGTTCCAGGACTGCCTGAAGGAGCCGGGCAAGGTGCTGTCCTCGGGCTACAAGTACCTGGAGTACGAGAAGCGGCACGGCTCCGGCGACTGGCGCCTGCTGGCCGAGCTCTTCACCGAGGCCGTGCGCTACTTCCGTGAGCCGCCAGCGCCCGACGCGCTGCCCCAGCAGTTCCTCGACGGCTCCTCGGCCGCCGGGCCGCCCAACGTGCTGCTGCGGGCCGCGCCACCCGCCCGCCCTGGATTGAGACGCCGCAAGGCTTCCCCGGAGCCCGAGGGGGACCTGGCGGCCGGGAAGCTGACGGGTGAAGAGCAGCTGCAGCAGCAGCGCCAGCACTGGCTGCCCCCGGGATCCTCCACCGGGCTGTACCCGCCCCCGGGCCTGGCTCACCTGCCCACCCAAGCCGGCCTGCCCGAGGCCTCCCTGCGCAACGACCCCTCGCCCATCACGGCCCTGAAGAACGTGGCGGACACGCTGGGCGGCAAGGAGCTCAACCCGGTGCATTCCACCACCGCCCGGCAGAACAGCACCAGCCCGGCTTCGCCAGCCACCTCGGGACCCCACCGTTTGGTGCCCCGCAACGGAGAGCCGGGCCAAGCGGCCACCACCACCTCTTCTTCGTCCTCCTCCTCCTCTTCCTCATCTTCGTCCTCTGGAGCCCACTCTTCTGGGGCGGCCGAACCCAGCGGCACCCAGAGTGCCCCCGACTCGTCCGGAGGGGCTGGCAGCGCCCCGCTCTGCTGCACCATCTGCCACGAGCGGCTGGAGGACACCCACTTTGTGCAGTGTCCATCGGTGCCAGGCCACAAGTTCTGCTTCCCCTGTTCACGGGATTTCATTAAAGCCCAAGGAGCTGCCGGCGAGGTCTATTGCCCCAGCGGGGAGAAGTGCCCCCTGGTGGGCTCCAACGTGCCCTGGGCCTTCATGCAGGGCGAGATTGCCACCATCCTTGCAGGGGATGTCAAAGTAAAAAAGGAACGCGATCCATGAAAGTGGCAGAGAGGAGCAGCTACGATCTGGGATGGTGTGCCACGGGACGCCCCCTACCCACCTTGGCTCCTGCAGCCGGGGCAGGGACTGGAGTAACTTATTGCCTCTCTGACATCC